AAAAAAAAAAAAAAAAAAAAAAAAAAAAAAAAAAAAAAAAAAAATTCATCGCGAAGCTAATAAAATCGAGAAAAATTATGACAATGTAAAAGAAGAAGATGAATTCTCTTCGATACCACCGCGTGCCACATTCGATCGGTCGAGGTTCCCATGTTGCACTGTTCACGCTTCGCGGAGCACAGACAAGATCATAGACGCGCGAATAATTACAGAAAGCGATTGAGAGTGCCGAGGGGCCCGATGGGAAGAGAGAATGAAAGAGAGACAAAAGAGAGAGACAGAGAGAGACAGAGAGAGAGAGAGAGAAAAGAAAAATCTCTCTCTCTCTTTTTTTCTCCCTCATCTCGCGCTTATTCGCGCGTATATATTCAAGGTAGCATAGACGCGCTTTTTCTCACGATGCGAATCGAACAACCGATACTTTTCTTTTTTTTTTTTCCCCGCCTAGCCGATAATAGCTTTGTCCTTCGCGCGAATGACCGCGGAGAGACCGCGCGGCGAGTCATCCGCAAAGGATCTAAGATCTAGGTGAGCGCGTAACGGGGGTCCCGGGGGCCTGACCCACCCCACTTGTCGGACACCACGCCATTTACCTAGCTACCTACGAATTCGCCTTGCCATTATTGGTAGGGAAAAACTTTTTTCCGGTTCTCTCTCCCCCTTGGATCCCCTTGCACGCGCGCGAGCACAGAGTAAAAACAATCCGCCGGGGATATATAAGTGATCTAGCGGGGTACACGAGATGTGTAGTCAGTCCACAGTACTGACGAGAGATCGCAAGTGCCTAGAGCAACATGTTCAAACTGGTGAGTAAAGTGGTATACTCGAGGCGGAAAAGCGCAGACGGGACTTTTCTCGGGGAAACGTATAGATATTGGGACGCGATATTTTTCCCAAGCAACGCACGACGAATGTCTAGAGGATATTTTAGATATTTTCCTAGGATTTCTTTTTATAAATCTCTTGAATTTTGTTTCCCTTTCGTTTATATTAAAAGAAAACATCATCGTGGAGAATAAAATTTTTGTTGAGAAATATATGTATATATTTCTCAACAAAAGGAATATTATAAAGAGCCAATTTTTATATTTTCGAAATATAAATATTTTCACACAGATCCCATAATATATATAGATAGGTGTAAAAACATTTATATTTCGAAAATATAACAATTGGCTCTTTATAATACTGCTTTTATCTACAGATAAAATTTATCTCAGACTGCAGAGAGAGAGAGAGAGAAAGATTCAACTCGCAATATCGTGAGAAATGCTCGGGCGATCCACGGTAACATTTGCTATGAACTTTACCTGCCGCCGCGGGCGCGATTTTATCACGGTAGAATACGCTCGTTTCATTCATATCGTATGAATAGATACGCGGTTGAAATCACCCTGGATGTGCGTAAATAAAGCCGAAGGCTATGCACAACGACGTGAATTGTTCGCTTAGAAACTTTGCATCTTGTCATTTATAATAATCTTGCATTGGAACTTTTAAAAGGGAATTAATGGTGCGTGTGCATGTTTTCCCTATTATAATTTTTTTTTTTCATTTTTATATATTTATATTTTTTATATTGTAATATTTAGTTCTTCTCACTATAAATTAAAATATATATATATATAATTTTTTAATTACGCTTTCTTCTAATTAAAAAATATGTTATAAATCATAATCTTTTATTTTTCGCTATTCAATTTTATCAACCTGACAGAGAGAAGCGTTTCCTACACAAATCTGACACATATTTTCTGTCTACTAAAAGATGTATATATATATATATGAATATGTAATTTTGCGATTCGCATAAAAATGCTTTCTCTGTATTGCACGATGGTATTAAGTTGTATATCAAATCTCGCCTCGGATTCTCGTCGCGATTTATGTGGACCGTCTTAAAATGAATCCATCTTCTGCAGATCCTTCTTCTCGCGACCGTCGCCTACGCGTCCGCCGGTGGTCTCTACTCCGGTTACGATGGAATCTACGGCTACGGCGGCTACGGCGGCTACAGCGGTTACGGCTACGGTAGCGGCTATGGCAGCGGCTATGGTAGCGGCTATGGTTTAGGTCATGGAGTAGCGGCGATCGCACCTGCGGTCACATACGCGCACGCTCCAGTTGCAACGAGTTACGCCAATACGTACAAGGTAAAAGCTCCCAAACGTTGAACGTGTAACCGGATGTTACGACACGAGTTGAGGATTATCAGCGTAACTGTGAAACGCCAACGACGTGGCCAAGAGCCAGAAGAAGATTTAAGTCTTATTCGCTCGTAATTCACGAACGAGCTCTCGCGTAAAATTAAATATGGGCGAAATAAAGTTTTCGCACATACAAGCGCTTTCGCTGGTAGTATATTATTTCGGTAAAACATAATTTGAATGGATACAATAAAATGACAATCGATTAAAGTTTAAGTAAAAAATTAAAATTTTGAAATTTATAATTTATTAATTATTTCATTAAATTAAAAAATTTAAATTTATATATATAATTGAGTTCTTTTACTATATATCTAAATATAATATAAAATAAAATAAGGGATAAAATAATATATTTTTCCTTCTCAGGTCGCGGTTGCTCCAACTGTCACTAAGCTTGCCGTTGCACCTGCCATCACCAAATTAGCGTACGCCGCACCTACAATCACAAAGGTGGCTTACGCTCCAACTTACGCATCACCAGCGGTGAGCTACGGTCATTACGGATACACGGTTCCACCATCGGTCACCTATCTGCAAAATAATCTTGGATACGGTCATGGTCTTGGATATGGTCTTGGATATGGTCTTGGTTACGGTTCTGGACTCGGTTATGGCCATGGTTACGGATACGGTGGATACTACCATTGATATTAAGACTATCGAAGCAAAGTCTTCGAGAGTAATCTTGGTCGACAGGTGATGGCTGGCATCACAGCTGGCTTATCGCCGCAAACTTTATCATCGGCTATGTATACAACGTTTACAATATACGTTTTCATCTTTTACATCGTCTTGATTTCTTATGACACGTCCAATTTTTTCCAAATTAATTCCAAATTAAAATCGCCACGGAAGCTAAAAATGGCGTCATCCGTCTCGTCATCTAGTCGTTTAGATCGTCCGAAGGACGTACGAATAAAGATTAAGAAACGATCCTGCGGATATTTATATCGTTCGATTAATTGTCTGAATTAGCCTTGATATTTCACTTTATATGTTAATATTATTCGATATTGCGTATTAATTTTTTTTATCGTATCTCGTGCCTATAATTCTCGTTTCCGCGGTTGCTGCGATTTAAGCGATCTTACACCCGCAAAGATCCGTCACGTCTGACCGAAGACAGGATTGCTAGAGGCTTTTATACATTCCGTCTTACGTTAGATCAGTCATTCGTCCATCCAGCGGAACGTAAGAGATTGCGCAAGGTGAAAAGGAGAAACGTATAGAGCAGCGTGTGAGAGAAGAAGCGAGGCTTAAGAGTAGATCAAGGCTAAGGCGAGGCAACCGCGAATTCTGTTTATCCCGATCAACGATCGGATCGTTTTGGTCCTTTTACTTTGGCGTAACTTTAATTTCGCGATTTTATGTAATAACGCTTTATATAACATGCACTCGCCTCATTAAAATTGTGTCTGTTATCCTTTCAATATTTGATCCCGCGTATCGATATTGAATATTTTATGGAGAGAGACCAAAGGGTCTTTGAATAGTCTCCTGAATTTATAACTCTCTATTCTTATAAAGAACAATATTTGATAATTATCAATAAATATAGAGTGATATATAATAAATAATATTAGAGTTAAAATATTTGAATCGATAATTGATTATAATCGGATACTTATTAAAATAATATTTAATTATGTGTGAATTTATTTTGACACACAAAGATCTTCAAAAGATCATGTATCAAAGATAACATTTTTCGTCTTAATAAAGGCACGGTTGGACGATTAATTTGATGTACGTGACAAGACACGCGCGCAAACTGTTTGCAAAACGATTCGACTTCTTTAAAGTCAACATCTCTGTCCAAGGTAGATCGATAAAGGAGATATTCGGCGAATTATGCGTTCTCGTTTCACACAAATTTAATTTGCGCCGGCAGTGTCCCGACGAATACAGGGTGTTTTAAAATCAACAAATCTCTTTCAATTACAGTTTATTCGGTTAATTTAACTAGAGGCAAGAATTCTCTTTTTTAAAATATTACCTATATATTTTTACGATTATATAAAATTTCTTTTAAATTAAATAAATTAACTAATTTTATTTAAATTCTTATTAATTATACAAACTTAAAAAAAATTTGTTAAAGTAAAATCCATTTGAAATTAATCGAAAAATATAACTTTGTTACTTTTTAGCTTTTCAAAAATTTAGTTTGAAAAAAGCCTTAATTTTCACGTTAATTATTTAAAAACTATCGTCTTCTCGACATTTTATGTCGATGAAAAATGGACTTTAAATTGACGAAAATTCGTCATAAAAAGGAGCATTCGGTAGTTGTTTACAACTTATATATTAAATGCTCGCGCTTCTCTCTTTTATTCTTCGTCATCGCCGAGCACGGTGGCGAAATATTACAACGTCAAGGGTCCGGGCCGCTGACAGTCTTGCTCATTCATTTATTTACTTTCTCACTTATCGTTGCACGCGATCGTGCTCCAGATTTATTAGAGCAGGGTCGTCGTCTCTCGGACTTCGCCCATGCCGATGACTCGTGAATCGTGCATCGACGAGGAGCCGAGAGAGCTCGAGAAATGCGCGTACATGCGAACGACGTCCGTTTTTAAAGTATAACGCACGGGAAAAACGAAAATGGATTTCCTCGTATAGCGATCATGGAAAAGCGTGGAACGCGACCGTGCTCCGAAATTGGTAGCCGGGAGAGAATAACATCAACCAGAAATCGCGAGACTTCCTTACTCGTCACAATACTAATCAGTCTTAATTAAACAGATAGTGTAAATAGGAGATAATATAAATATATATTAGGTGTACAACTTTGCTTCCGCCGTTTTCCTATAGATGGCTTTAGCGGTAAGTAGATTTGTACGCTGCCCGAAAGATGGGAGAAAGTAGTGGCCAGCGATGGACAATACTTTGAATCATAAATGTATAACCAGTTTTTTACAATAAAGCCTCGAATTTCGGAAAAAAACGGCGGAAGCAAAGTTGTACACCTAATATATAGATTTTTTTATATATATATCTTTTGGAGAATAGAAGATTTTTTGGGGGAGAGAGAAAGAGAATTAAATATTATCGCGAATAATAATAAAAAAAATTAGGATAATTAAAGAAAAGCGCTCGGATATTAATATCGAGTCTAAATATTTTTGAATTATATTACCGCAAGGATAACGTAACAAAAAGCCAAGTCCTTCCATCGCTCGCATGTTTCGTAAAATTATGTGTTTCGTAAATCAAATATTATAAATCTTATAGATGCATTTTAAGATTTATATTAATATAAATTTTTATCGAAGAATGTAAGGTGTCTATTATAATGCCAATCGTAATCTTTCCATCGGTATCGCACGAATGCATTGTAATGAATGGCTCGCATACTTTCCATTGTAAAGCGAATGTAAATGCAGCATGGTCAATTCTATTGCATAGTGCATGTGTGATATGGACGTACTGTCAATTAACGCCTGGAGCTTGCATACAGCTTGTAATAAGAGCGCGCGCGTTGGCGTTGCGTAATAAAACAAACTGCCATGGCCGGGTTTATTTCGGGATCGCAAAGTAAGAGATTTTGACTGACATCCCTACGATGAGCGATGGGCGTTGTTGCGTATAGAAGAGTTATGTGATTTATTCGCTCGGAAAGGTCGCGCAGTACTTTCTACGGCGGGTGTCGCGGTCTCACTACGAGGCCTCGTCAATCTTGCAAATTCGTAGATACACGCGTCATCTACGAGTGCAATTTATATTTACCGGTAAATTACATAAATATTTATTAATGATATAAATCCGTTTTATTAAATACGAATATTTTTGTTACGCATAAAGTTGCAAAATTACAATAAACGAAAAAAAAGTATATATTCTTGCGCGCTTATTTTCTCGAATAATTTTTATCTATAAAATATCTTCTTTTTTTTTTATTTTTATGCTAGTATATTGAAGTACGCACTTTGTAGTAACGTTTCTCTTTTTTCAGAATTATTATCTTAAAAGAGATGTAGCGAGCGAATATTTTTTTCGCGTGAAAAATATTGTGAATGATAAATCTCTATTAAAACTGGGTAAAATAACGCACATCGAGATTTGTCTCGCAATATTTTACGAGAATATATTTGAAAAATCTTTCTTTGGATTTGCACGTGTTGAATCAGCGTAGCCTGGTGAAATTACAAATTTAAGATGGAATTATATTACGTAAAACGGCTGTAACGAGAGGCCTCCTGACTTATGTACGAGCGCATTTGGCTTTGCGCGTAATTCGAGCGTTTCGGCGTAGACCGGCATTAAAATTCCCTTTGAGGCCCAAGTACTATAAGAGGATTACTTTCCGTTCAGTTCAACACATATCTCGTTTCGAACACGTCAATGTCCGTTGTCGCCGATAATAATAATTCCGTAACGCAATGTAGGTAGACACGTACATGGTACAATAAATAGAGGATTGTATATAATCGAAAAATATTAATTAATTATTAATTCTCTGTTTCTAATTTTAATATATATATATATGCGTTTATGTATATATTATAAAAATTATAATTCTTTAGAACTCATCCACGTTGCTCGGATCCAATATCAATCGATTCTGCAGATGGAAAATTGGTCCCGGAAAATTGTTTCAGAGAGGCTGACAATTAATACGGCGTAAGCGATCGGTGCCGTCATGGCGGTGGTGTGTATTCTGGGGCTGCGGGCACGAGCCAAACATGCACGAGAGACGACGTGTACGCACCAAGTCCGCGTCAACGGGCGCGGCGGCGATCACGGGTGCTGACTCCAGGATACCGGGGGCCGGTGCCGATGCCGCCACGGCGGCGCAGACGGCGACGACGAGATAGAGGATTCCTTCTTCTCGAAAATATATGGATTTTCGCGAATTGCTACGCTACTCGACTCTAATAGCGAGATCCGTCTCTCTCTTTTTTTATAGAACCGAGAATCTCCTTTACACGAGGAAAGAACAGATTCTAGAAAATGATATTAAAAAACAGGTTCTCTTTCACCTTTAATTAATTTATTAAAAATTTGTCTAAAAAGCTGAATGTCAAAGGATATCCTCGTGATTCAAAAGTGGCTGCGTCTACACGTACGTGGACCAAGATTTTCCGGATTCGGCGAAATTTACCGTACGAAAGATTTAGATCGTTTTAAAAAACGGACAAAGGGCAAAGGGGGAGCAAGTCGGTCGACGATATCTACCGCTCCAATGATCGATAGATTGGAAAATACAGGATATGGATATACCGTCTCTCTCTTTTTTATATAATCTCTTTTTTATATAATTACGAGGAAAGAACAGATTCTAGGAAAGAACATTAAAGAACAGATTCTCTTTTCCTTTAATTAAGTTATTAATTTTAAGAAGCTAAACGTCAAAGGATATTCTACCTCGTGATTCAAAAATGGCTGCGTCTACACGCACGTGGACCAAGGTTTTTCCAAATTCGGCGAAATTTACCGTACGAGAGACTTAGATTGTTTTAAAAAACGGACAAAGGGCGAGGGGGGAACAAGTTGGTCGACGATGTCTACCGCTCCGATGATCGATAGATTGGATAATTGAATATTGTATAATTTTCGGTTATCAATCGTTATCCCTTTTAACAATATTGCGCTTCAACCAATATATATTATATACATCAACTCCCTGATGGGAAAATAATCCGTTATATGAATTAATGGCTATAACAATGCTTTGCTGTATGTAAATAATTACATAATGCTTGATCGCGGAAATAAATTATTAATTCATTAATTTAATAATAAATTAAACATATATGTGCAAATCTATGGAACTATACGCATTATAGATTTCCATTCAACGTATCATGGGACACATCGTTGTAAAATTTTAATACGTCAGGCTGACATATGTCGTAATTTATCAACGTAGATTGATAAAAAAAGAGAAAGAGAAGGAGATACCGAAAGATAGGATGCGCCTTGTGTAATAACGCATAATATTTTATGCCACGCACACGCGATTGCGTAGAAAAGCGGTCGATAGTTGACGTTACCGTATGTCTAGGTAGCTGACATAGCGCACCGGAGTTGCTGTGATTTTCGTCAGTGCAATGTGTCACGCATTGTCATTGTCGATGCGTGATTGCACAAGGACGATGACAATCTGCGTAACGCACAAGCAGAGAAAACAACACAGACGCACGCACTCTCCAATATTACATGTTGTCTTATGCGAAGTGCGTTGCACGAAATTGTGCAAGTCGAGCATCTACTTTCGCGACTTGTGTCACAATGCCTCCCCCTCCCGATTTGTTTTCTGGCGATTCTGGTTCGCGACCTGTTTCATCGTCGTAATGTACGTAGACGTAACAGCCGTTCAATCTGCGTTATTGGGTCATTTATCGAGGCAAGTATATGTCAAGAAACAGAGAAAAATTTTACAGATTACTTATAAAGGAGGAATTCTATAAAAAAATTTCCGAGAAAGTATAGTAAAATTTTTTCAAGAGAAAGAAAAAGAGAATTAATTTATATATAAATATATTTAAATTAAATATAAAAATAAAAAT